AAATATTAATTGAATGTAAGAAAACTTTTAATAAAAGTGTGATAAAACAATCGCTTATTTCAATAATATTCGGTATGAGTTGAGTTTAACGTAGAGTGAATAGGTATTTCAAGTTTCCAGTGATTTTACGGTCTGTCTTTCCCCCCTGCCCACCTAAACCCTGTTCAAGGGTGGTAGCGCACGGGTGGAGGTATGAGAATCCGCGAAGCACACTTACTAGCAGATGATAAATTTCCACCCACCTCATTCACAACCGCCGCAACCGTTTCCATTTTATGTGCCAGGATGTGTCTCCTCCTTAGACCACGTTTACGACTTCTCGAGCAGTCACTGTTCGTCTTGGGATCTGCTTAGATCATCCGCCAGAGAACACTCTTTATCGATGAAAGCTTTTCTTCTCGACTATACGAGTACGTGCGCAGACTGGTTTCTCTTCGCGAATTTAAGAAAGAGCTTAATACGTTTCATTCAGCTAGCTATTTTTATAAAGTTATAAAGCATTCGATCAAAATGAACGATCTTAGTTTATATTACAGTAACTATATCTAGTCTAATTTTTGTTCGTATATTTTCAATACTAGCTTAGCATTGAAGTTGTGTACAGCTTGGAAATTTTTACACGAAATGTGTATTTTGTGACTTTTATGATTTTTTATCTTTTTTAATCTTTCATTAATCATTTTGTATAATAAACACAAATATAATAAAAACTATCTTATTATACATATAGTATTATTATATAGTTTGATCAAATATGATTAATCCTAGTTAGTGACGTCAATCAACGAACGCGAAATGATTTTCAAATTTTATTTCTGTCGATTCTAAAATCTGTTATTAGTGGATCAAAAGTCTTTTCTCGTTATATCATGTATCTTTTTAACTGTCTGATCAATAAGCTTCAAGTTAATTCCCCAGATTCGTCGAATTATCTGGAAGAAATCATTGAATGGGAACAACATAGATGTGAATCATTGGGACATAAGTAACGTAGATTACGCAGTTAAGGATATTGTGAGGCGGTATAGCTATAAATCATATTTTTATGAGACACTCTATGGTCGATCAAAAAGAAAGGGTCTTTTGAAAAGAATGCAAATATAAATTATGAACCAAACGACTCATTAGTTCGCTTGTTTTTCTTTTTTTCTCTTTTAATTATATTATTATTATTTTATTATTATTGTGATGATTATTATAATTATTATTGACAATAATATGGAGAAGCTGCATATTTTGCATGCATATTTCTGTTCTTAATGAACATTTTGATATATAACTTTAAATAAGCTTACACTCTAAATTTCTTGTAGTGAAATCTCACTTTCAAAGAGTAAAAATACATCTTTGAAAAAAAATGAAAATATTTCACTTCTTGAAAAAGAATGACAATTTTCACTCGTTTTAGAATGAATTTTTACTTCAAAAGAGTAAAGTCTCATTTCCACAAAAAGTGAGATTTCACTCCTTTGAAGTGAAAATTCACTCTAAAAGAAAAAGTGAAGATTGTCCCTCTTTTTTAGGAAATGAAGGGTAGTTGTATTTTCACTTTCTCGGAATGAGAGTTTTATATCTATAGATATATAAAACTTTATAACGTCTTAAAATAACGTGCAATTATACGTGCGAGATACATTTGTTAATATAGCATTCTTTCCTTGAGCAATGACGCATAACGATAATAAAAGGGTATCGCAGTTTTTTCTAGAGAAGAATATATAACGAGTAAGTCGGTAAATGCGTTAGGAAACTTAAAATACATGTAAAATCTTACATTTATAATGCGCAGTGATTATCATGTCTGAAAAATTGTACAAAATAATTGCAAATACGGTCACGTATAGACTGTACGTAGGATGATAAATTTACGTCATTTGAGGCAGTTATTGGCTCTCATATTATTTGTTCGATTGGTCATCGAACGTTTCTTGAAAGCCCACATCCACTTAACACTAGTAGATCCTGCGTTCGTCGTAACGCACCGTTACAGATACGTGTACTTAACAAAGTGGCACTTTGACGAAGTAGTCGCTCGTAAAAAAAGACCCAGGCGTGGACGGTTAAAGCCTCATGAAAACGAGATGACGAATCGTGTACCGGCACAAATTCACGAGCTCTAAAGCGAGACGAGAAGAATGTGTATTGCAACACGACCAGGAACGACATAACGCTCGGTCTCGCCCCTGAAACGGCATCAAAGTAACTGTCGATCGTTAGAGGGATCATTTTACGAGTGGAAATAATATTCCAAGCGTCGTCAACTGGTTAAATACGTGTAACAATGATGGACGACTACGACTATACCATCGCACGCGTATCAATGAACTCGATTTCTCTTACCATTTCACTCAAAAAAATTTCTGCTTGAAAATAGACGACTCAGAATGTTCTGGTTAAATTTATTAGACTTCTAGTTGAGATAATCGGAATTCTGATTGATATATAATAATATTTTTGGATAAAATCTACTAGAATTCTAGTAGATTTAATCAGAAAATTCTGATTCGTCCATTTTCTATCAGAATTACTATTTAATCCAATCAGACTATTTCTCTTTTCAGTCCTTTTATCACGTTCTCTTCTGTATGTCTGTCTGATATGTGTTACTTTCGAAATCATTTTCCTTGTATTGTTGGTATATCCATTACTTAATATTTCGATGGTTTACAAGTTTTGTAGGTTCCTCGAAGCTATAAAAACCTGTGATTTCGCAATAATATATCATATATACCGCGTAATCGTATTTTCGTCGAAACCACTTTTACGTTTTTCGTGTGTTCTTTTTCAAGTTGGAGCACGATTACGTTTTATTAACGAATCTTTTAGACACAGTTGCAGCATCGGCAAACAAAGGAGTCGATTAAAATGATTCTGAGAAGAGGTTCGTGGTATCTAACGAAAGATCATTTCAAAGTCGGTCTTCTAAAATGTGTACTGGGTCTTTATCGCCACTACTCTTTGTGTCTGCGAGACGTGTTTTACGAGGCGACCAGGTTTTAGTGTCGAACGATGTTTTACTTGGTCAAGCTTTTTATTATCTATCTTGTACCGCTCTTTGTTTACAAGTTATTGCTTCGTGTGTATCAATCGAAATAAAAGACTCAATCGAAATACTACACGCGCGTCATACATCAAATTAAAATGACTTCTTGATTTTTCAGTGTGTTTCCACACTTGTGACTTTATATCTTAATTAATCTTCTTGATTTGTTTGTATTAATTTTTTTAGACAGATTTTTTTTTAACTGATGACATTAACTTACAGCGATGTTGGAAGTAAAACGAGATTGTAATCGATTGCTATCGAAAACGATCGAGGTTTCACCAAACAGGATTGATTCGACAAAGATGCCCGATCTAGGTACCAATGCGTCTAGACTTTCGAATAAGTCTGTTACAATCTGCTATCGTAGCGGGCAGGAAACCGGGTCTGCCATTGGGTGCACGTATGAAAACTAAGTCCGGGTTTCATTTGACTGGCTTTACGAGGGAGACATAAAATGGATTTTACTGTCGGCTAGTTCGCCAGTTCTCGAGTTGGTAACATTGCTTTAGCGAACATAATATACTCCTCCTCCGCGTCCTTGTCGCTTCTTCATTCCTCTCTTCTTTCTCATCTACTCTTTTCTCTCTTGCCATCTTTCCGTAGTGGATTTTGTTTTACGGCGGTGGACCTCATCCGCCTCCTTCCCCTTCGCGACTCGACGATCTTTAAAGAATCGCGGTAAGTTTTCTCTTGTCGTCTCTCTGAGAAAACTTCTCGAATGAGAAATGTCCCGCTACCAGATTTAATATCCGCTGGATAAGCCGACATGGCGGTCGTTAACTTCTCTCCAGGCTCCATTTCTTAGTCGGCGGTTTCCGGCATTCGGTAAATTTTTTTTTTTTTGCGTTAGTGTTAGTGCCGCGTTGTTTCTTATATTGAACGATTGGTTCGGTTTCCTTAGATAGTTTTAATAAAGACTTAAATGATAACAAATTTATGATAACCTTGCTAAATAGCAAATATTATTTTTATATTATAAACTTTTAATAGTTTTGATAGACGGATAATGTGTAAAACTACAAGAGGAAATTCTTGAGGTGTAATGCATATAATAAATTAAATACGGTAATAAACTGTTATCGCAATGAAGAATGCAAATAAGCGGTATTTTCGTTGATGATGTCATAAATCCAGTATATTCTTGAACATAGTTGAATGTAACGTTGCGTTTTTACATTGCATGTCAAGTCGTTTGGCAATTGTGCATTTACGTCAGTAAACGTTGTCAGCGGCAATAAAATAACGCGATTTATCCGGTATTATTATGAATCTCAAATGGCATAGATAGATATGTCTATATATTTTTTATCTCCTCATTACAGCTGGTACTTTAATCACTGCTGTGGCAATTATACTTCTTTTTCCTATATACTGGCGATAATAATTAAAAAGCAATTGTAGATCATAATTAAATCGAAATTATTACTATTTTAAAAATAATGATATTTTTAATAGAAGGATGTGGAATTACGTATCTGAGTAGATAGAGTTCGCGTTAATACGATATCGCATTGGTTTTATTACATTTTCAAACAAATTATGAATTATTCAAATAAACTACTCCGTTACTTCTTTGAATCTCGGAAATTATGCGTCGTAGAATTACACGTGACACGTTACGTAAATCTTATTGCATAAGACAGAATCAATTTGTTTAGATTATTATTTCCATGATGTAGATATGATCTCAACATCTAACAATTGTTATTGGGGTTTAGTCACAATAATTATTTTGTATTTAAATTGAGAATAAATATTGAAGACAAATATGCGAGTAAATTGTGTCTAAAACTTCAATCCAAATTAACAAAATAAAAAGAAAAGTATTATAGAGAAAAATAAGAGGATGAGATGTATGTTTAAATAGGTTGTTTAAATTCTTGGAAATGAGCGACATCATTATCATATTGTATGCCTATCGCTATTATCATATATCCAATTTTTCTGCTTTCAGATCGACCATTAACAATCAATGAAGTAAATCGAGGAAAACGTGTAGAATCCAAAGAAAATTGTGCCGCCTCCAAAGTGATAGAACGATTGTCAGGACGAGCACTGAACCTGACTATCAATCATTGCCAACATTTCGGACATTGCTTCGCGAGATGTGCAGTCAACACTGCTACATATTCAGTGATTCGAGCAAATCGCATTCAATCAAGAAATTCTTTAAAAAAAACTCGCGAAAAATTATTATATCGGTTTCACAGCAAGTTCCCAGACGTTTTTCGTCCTTTGCTTTTAATCGCTGATTGTGATTGTAGTCCTTCGTGAAAGGATACCGCTTCTCTACGAACAATCTCACAATGATCGACGCCATCGCGATAACAGATCTTTGCGGTAATCGAACGATCGGTCGTGGACGGTCGTGGACGGTCGTGGACCGTCATGCGAACAACAAGATCGCAGAGCGTAACCCATTCATTTTTCAAACGATCACCCGCGTTTCCTCGGCAGGCGAATGCTGAATTGTATACAATCGCCGCGTTCGGATTTTCGTTTCAGGCGAAACGAAATCGACGGACCCTGACGTTACGCATGGTAAATCAGCTCCCGCAAGGCAGCTCAATCAAGCATAATCTCGGAGAATGAGAAGACCGCGACATACCGTTTCTGACATCCCTTGAGCTTGTCTGGCGAGTTCATGTACCGCGTCTGTCCATTTTAAAATTCGGTGCGAGAACGCGATGGCAAGATGCCGCTGCAGAGAAAAACGACCGTAAGCGCGACAGGCATCAAGCGAATCGTTAAGAAATCTATCCGATCATAAGTAACGGTTTTATTCGCTGGTTTCTCCACAACGATGGCGGATGGCCAATTTTGTGTATGGAAAACCGGACACTGAATGACGGCGGTGGCTGCGCAAGCAAGGCGATGCCTTGGTCGAATTAATCGATGATGGATATAGTGATTTTGATGCTTTCTGCTTATTCATATATATTTTATATATATATATATATATATATATATATATATATATATATATGCTGACTTGCTGTTTTCTCGATTAGATGTATTATTGAATATTACTGGAAGATACGAGACTTACAGCCACGCATGATCGAGCATGGTAAGACATCCATTTTTCAATCATTGATTACGTAATATTTAAATTTATTCGACGAATTTTTCAAATTTTTCTATTTCTCAAAAAAAAAAACGAAGAAAAATATCTCTTTCTAAGATACATATTCATGCAAATCGTGCTTATTCAATGCTTAAAGATCAGATACGTGATATTTTTTATGCTTAATATTGTAAAATGTAATGACAAGAGCACATGATAGATAAAATGTCGTCCGACTGTTATGTGTCGTTTATGAAAAATATTTAATTAAAATTACATCGTACATGTGCGTGGTTGCATTATACATTGCCAAGGACTTTCCATAAAAGACATAGTCGGCCGATATTTTATCTATGGTGCTTGCCTGAACAAGTATCATTACATCGCAGTAATTAACGTGAGTAAATCTTTAATCTTAATGACGAGTAAAGCAATTAATCTTGAAATACCATGAATTAATTCAATCCATATTAAAATTCTTTTTTCGCGCCGTATACGACGAATTATCAGCCGCTATTCTACGATAATTAAAATTTTTCATACAAAGGCGAGCGCATCTGCGCGCAAAATCGGCGGATGCATCAGACGTGCGGTGTGGCATGCAATGAAATAGCCGCTCAAAAACTGATCGCTTCAGCTTGCGGCAAATTAATTTACAAATAAGAACACTAAAAAACACTGTCCCTTCGATATGCAGTCTCATTCCCTTCTGTTTGCTTCTTTTCTCTTGCCTCTGTCCCATCTCTCTTGCTTCGTGCGAAACACGTTTCAAGTAACAATTTGATACATAGCCCGATCGAATATTACCATAGAATACTAATGACTTGTTTCCGTAAATGAATTTGCGTTTCAGTAATGAGCATGTACGCTATACTGTGTCAGATTTATCATCATCGTCGTTAATTTGTAACAGAAGAATTAATTTGCATATTAATCAAGCTTTTATGAACACAAGATTTTGCTTCAGAATTTATATTTTATGTTTAAATTTTATGACTAAATTTTCTTTTGATTCATATAGGTATATTATGTTTTTTAGTGGAACTTTCTGTTTCTTGCCTTTAGTGTTAAGCTATATAATAGGCTTAGAAATTTAGTTAGAATTAATTCAATAATTAATTATACATATATGTATATACTATACATATATACGACACATAATTATTCTCTCATCATTACATTTCGTATTAGGCCTGGTGTAAGAATCTCGTACTAAGCATGATACTATAGATATTCTTTAGATTCTGCATAAAAAAACAACCAACACATTCTGCATAAAAAAAAAACACCATTCTGTTTTCGCCTTGCAAATGTCTGAATCGTGAAGAGAAATTCTCATAGACACTATAACAGCGACTGACTTTTAATTAACCATCGCACGTCATTATATAAAGTGGATTCACTTCGTGAATCCTTTTGTTACGTGTGAGACTTGCGTCAGATGTTTGTACGAAAAAAACATATATGGCAACCTATTCGATGATGCCAATATCCTATAATTTTCGGCATTTTGTCGTTTATTATGTAACTTGTAATTTTAGTTTAAGGCAGTTCGCCATTGTACGTACACACATTATACGTACGATTAAAGAAATGCAACACTTCGAGTGTTGCACTGAGTGTTTCCCCGGCGGGGAAACGAATAGACAAATTGAATTGCATAACGCGATCTGTTGCATTTGATAGAGCAGAAACTTCTATTCTTTCACGCAGATTTTCGAAATTACATCAAATTCGTTAAACATCCGTTCTTATGAAATTTAGAACTGTGAAGTGTTAACATAATGACGTTAAGGGGATTCTAAAGCCATCTGTGTTATCGATTCAATAAAATACGTACGATTTACGTGTCATTGACATATCAGCATACACTACTACATAAATATAATATGCATACATGCATACAAATTTTCTAATTAACTATAATATTTTATATTAAGTATCTAAACCTAATTCTAAGAATTAGGTTTAGATACGACATTGTTTGTTCATGTCTTTAATCCAAACCAAGATTATTTTATACGTACAAATTTAAAATTTATATATAAAACAAATATCGTTGCGAATCGACATCAGAAACTGATAATAAAATTTTCTTGTTTTTGACACAAAGTCGATCGATTTGAACTACACTATCGCTTATACTTTAATTGGGAAGAAGGACTTTTAAGTCTGGCATAAAGGCAGTTAGAAAAATACTTATTTAAAAAATAATTGATAAAACAGACGACTTTAGCATCCCCTTGAATGACGTGCATTGTACTCACGTCCGTTACCCTTGCGTGTGAAACATGTGTCTATTGTGGGTCGCATATATCTGCACGTACATATGTCATCTATGCGTTAAGTATGCGTGTGTACGTCCGCACGCAAAGTACGACACGTCGAATTCTTCTTAGAACATAGGAGGACTCATTCATGATTTTTCTACATTCTCTGTTGTCGGAGAAACTAAAAAAGAATTCGTACAGAATAATTATGATTAGATATCAGTTTCCAATTATATTACAATGCTTACCTTCTATTTCGATACTTTTTTTGTTTGATGAAAATATTCAAGGAATTCGAAATTAAGAGAGAAGACAACTTAATTTTTAATCGGTAATTCTATTATCTTTTTTGTCTAACAAACTTTGCCGTGATGTAACGCACGTCTTGTATTTTGAATATTAATGCCTACACCTATTAATATCTCACCAAGATAATCCCTATATTCATCGGTTAATACATTTTTCTAAAATATACGATTTTAGGGATTCGACACAAGCGTGAGGTGCTGCACTGAGGCGCTCATAGCAGATTCGCTCGACTTTGCAAATTTTACATACAATCGCCATATTTTTCTAAGCAATAACTTTTAATGTAATCGTAATATAATCTATCATATAAGTGTATTTGTTAGAGGCACACATCTTTTCACTTTAAATAGAAACACTTGCGCCGTATGAATAAATGTGCGCATGTTCGAATCTAAGAGAGTGACGAAGATTAGATTACTAATGATCAGTGATGGCGTTAATTCGACTTTCACATATCTTTATCGTTCATGATATCTATCCTTTTTTTTTTTAATTATAAGTACTTATTGAGAGACTTATTCGCAAATCACTTTCTGCGAAGCCAGCTCTCTAAAAAGATGTAGCTTTTAATTGCTGTTCTTTCTTTTTCCTAGGGATTATTTGTTTCAGTTGAAACGATCGAGGAAAGGAATAGTGTGTTTGATATTTGACGTGTATATTCAAATAGAGTACTTCGTAGCACAAGAAGGGTCGTAAATTCTCTCGTGTTATAAGCTGGATTGTGAAAGAGAGCTCTTTTTTGAAACGCATAATGCTTGTTTTTTGATCGAAAAGACCCTTCTAAGCGTTATCTTACACTTGATAAGATTTTTTTTTGTTGGAAAAATCGTAATAAACACCGTTTTCTAATATAATCGATAACTACGTACTACATTAATATTAATACTTTATTGAATAGGTAAAGTTATTGTAACTGTGTATGCGCTTTTACACGACTGCAAAGTTATTCTCGTAATGAATAGTGTTATTTAGGTTTCAAAACCTAGACTTAATGATATAAGGCACATACGCAATTCTCAAATTATTTAAAAAACTTAAAAAAAAAAAGATACATCAGCATTCATATTTCCGCAAGAAACATTGATTTATACGTGAAACCAGCTCGCAAGATCGCAGCTGTTTTTCGTGTCTTTGTTTTCGCATCGAACAATGTCAGATTGATATTGCTAGAATGCAAAAAGCGTGAAATTTTACAAATCATTTTTGTTTAACCGCTCGTAATCAGTGACAGTTAAGGAAAAGGGAACCTGGGATATCTACTTAATACCACATATTTACTTGTTTTAATAAATTTGGCTGTTGTAGTTATTTATCCATTCATAGAAAAAGATATTGTATGTCGGAAATAAGTGCGATAATGGCAACAATCTTAAAGAATGATGATAATAATTATGAATGTAATGAAAATAATAGGACAGCTTTGTATGGAGGAAAATAAGGAAACGAAATATGGAACGTACGCGTATTGTTGTCTATTAAGTGTTATGTTATATGGCATATAAATAAAACAGTACAGCTATATATAATCATAGCGACGCCTAATATGCTTAACCTTTGAATTTCTTTGTTATCCAGAATTTTTATATTTTTGTGATCATCAAAATTTATAGATCTCTCTTCTAACATATTAAGGAATTTTTACAATAATGTGTATCCAGATACGATAAACACTAAAGTCACCAGTTATTCTTTTCTTAATTGGATGTTAAGAAGAAGATAATCTGACTTTAGCGTTCATCATATCTAGATAAACGGTATTTTAAAAACTATATACCTATTATTGTGAAATGTTACTCCATATTTTCGATTCTTCTTACGCAATAACGCTATAGGAAATATTAAATCATTTAATAATTATATCTCGGCAAATGCAGGTAAGTACTATACATTTTTTCATGAATTTAATTTTTTGCATGTTTATATTATTTAGTCTCATTTAAATTCAAATAGGTTTTATAAATGAGCTTATCAAAGATTTAATTAACAAGAAATTAAATTGCATGTCAGAATTTATTTTATAAGAATACAAGAACCGGAGCAAGTTTATCCACTTGGCGACAACTAATATGGATCACTCGAAAGAAAAAAAGAGAGATCGATAATATTTATTTCTTTTATTTTGCGATATCGCCCAGCTCGTTCTGCAACTCTACAGGAACGAACGCGCATACGGGATCGATAAAATACTGATACTTTATTGCTCGCGTTAAATAATTATAAGTAATTATAGTAATTACAATGTTCATTGTGATTAAATAATTGTAGTAATCACAATGAACAAAATGTTAAAACGGTTCATTGTGATTACTATAATTAAATAATTTTAACATTTTGTTGACGATCGGTTTTTTTTCTTTCTGTGGACGTTTTTTTTTATGCATTATTTTGTGACTCTGACTGTTCTGACTGACCTTGTTCTTCGGTCAATGCTGCAATTATTCCCGATTTAAGGCGACATTAGGAATTACGATTATATCCTTATTAAAAAGTAATTTTGTAATATTATAGCTTCAATTTCCTGTATTGCGATCATATTTACTGCTACCGTTAAACAACTTCAGTATGCGTTCGAAACTTTCGCGCGATGCATCCACGTTGATTATAGGCTGAAGAGAGCAAGAGAGATTGCTCTATAACGGGAAAGAAGAAATCGCCTGGTTACAACTTGGTATCAAGATTGGAGAATGTTTTCTTGGATAATACCCGTTATGAATAAATATTTATAATATCACTTGCCAACAAGTAATATGCAAATATGAAAGAGAATAGTAATCACGATATCAAAATCGTGTATTAATACGATTTATCGCTGTGATTCGCTAATATATACATAATCGCGCTATTTTATTTAGAGGTAAAATTAAATTAAAATTTTCAAAATTCTGTAATGTTATTCTATGAATATATTAATAAGAAATGAAGTTGTGCATTGATTGATGTTATACTTCAAAACTTCATTTCACCATTACTTTGTCATTGAAATATTATATAAATTGTCAAATTCTACGACAATGGTTATTATAATGCGGACGTCACTCAGCGAAGATATCCACAATGCGGAACAACATAATCATCTTGTGCGATCGTGTTGAAAGTGAGCAATATATGTAATCGCACTAATACTAATGTATCTCGTAACACCAGATCTTATGCAACGATTTGCTTTTGGTTTAGAAGCGAGCAAAAGTCACACATTTGAGAACTGTATTCAGCAACTCCAACTTTTTCTTCCTGCCAGAAGATCACACCTACTATTATGGTGCATTCAGCCGAGGTAAAATATCCGATGCACGCAAGCAATCATTTCAATCGTACCTCACGAAACAAAGGAGCACTTTGCAACGATCTTCGCGTTCCTTTTGATTGTAAAAAAGATCTCTGAAGGGTACACATCCTGCGTGCGTGCTGAAAATTGTTCGAATGTAAAAGATTGGAAATAAAGAGAGAGAGAGAGAGAGAGAGAGAGAGAGAGAGAGACCATGCTATTTACTGCATCAGAGGGTTCGGCTGTAGCCTACCATCAATGGTATCATCAATGATGAGCGATGCCGAAGAAATGTGACTGTTGCGCTTTCTAATATACATTTCTGAGGTTTCTTTTTTAAGAAAGCAATAGATGAAGGTTATGCTATATAAAAACGTTACTTTGGGAATGTCTCAATGTTAAGTTGATAAATGTCTGTAGCACCTAACATTTGCAAAATATTTTCTTGCAAATATCCGTAATGCAAATATTATAATATTTGCAGCTATTCAAGATAAAAAAAATATTTATGGATAGAATATAGAATATAGTTTCAAAACATTTTGCAGCAGGAACCATATTTTTTATTAAGTGATTATAATCTGTATTACATATTGACTACAAATTTAAATAGGTAATAACAATATATTTTTAAATTTATCTATATTAAATTTATCTATAATTAATTAGATCTATTCAAGTTTGCTACATTACTAAGTATAATATTTATTCTTTAATTCTGAGTTTTTTAGATAAATTATAATTTTAAAATAGATTATTAATTCTGAGTTTTTTAGATAAATTATAATTTTAGATAAATTATATAGATGTGTGTGTGTGTGTGTGTGTGTGTGTTGTGTGTATGATAGATATATAACTACATGATATTCGATATATTCAATGCATACAATGTATTCTGTTATTCTTCTATTGGTACTTAATTCTTTCTTACTTAATTTCCATCGGGGATCTATTCTAATATAGATGAGATAAATCAATTAAATAGGATATTATCCATTGTTATTATTCTTAATAATTTTTCTCATCATGAAATTACTCCCAGTATCCATTCTCTTCATCAAGGTCACTAACTTATCTTGTTCCTCTTGTCTTTCCATCCCTATCTTATTCTCT